TAGTGCTCTTGCAATTCGTCTTCATGGTATGGGAGATTGTACTCGTCATCGGTGCGTGGCGATATCTGTGCATTGAGCTCTTCGGACGAGGTACTGGCTCCCTTGGCTGTATGGTGAAGCTGCAACAAGGCTTTCTGTGCCTGGGATACTTCGTAACAGGCAGATATGGTACAGCTATCCAAGATACAGCCAATTTGACGGAGCTGGCGCATAGCCGTCTCAAGGTCATTCACCCTCTGGGATGGGATGTTTTGGATTCCTTGAAGTTTCTGTCGGGCCTTCTCTAGAAGCTTGGTGGCATCATCGATTTCAATGGTAGTGACCTGGCAGAGGGTCATTTGAGTGATTGACTGCGCAAGGCGGTGGACGGCGGCATCTTTGATAGGAGTCGGTCGCTCCATTCCAAGGGACAGAGTTGTCTACAGGTTTGTAGGTGGACAAAGGCTTCCAGGTATTCAACTGGTGTGCACCGTATTGCAACCTTCATCGAGAATGGGCATGTGGTGGTGTGGTGAAGATCATTGGCCGGACGAAAGTTTGGTTGATCGAAAGTCAAACGGCGACAGGCACCATGGCTAGATGTACTTTGACATCGCACTACACTACCATGCAAGAATTAAGAAACAACAACCCGAAACAAAAACAACTAACAACCCAGAACGGATTAGTAAACCGCCCTCCACAGCCTCCCGTCCTAGTCGCAGCGGGCAGTAATCAACCATGAGTACCCCATGGTGACCACGCCGCTCAGCCACACTGTCACCAAGAATTTGTGCAGGCAATCCTATGCTGGCTCCAGCGTGTTAACTAGAAAAGGAAACGCGGCAGGCAGTTATCAACCATGAGTACCCCATGGTGACAGCGCCGTTCAATCAAGTTCAAGTTGGACGCTAATTGCATAAAAAGGAAATTGGGTACTCTGTGTCGTTTGGTGCGTTTTACTGGAACTGCTCGTGTGGTGTAGTGCGAAGGTCTCCACTGCTACTGGCACCACTCGCTCCGGCAGTGGCGGAGGGTGGCTCACTACTCCCCGTTGGTTTCATCATTTGGGCGATGAGCGGGTGAGTATGCTTGTCACGCAGGATGCGCGTCATCTCGCGGGTAAATGCCGCAGGGTCATCTACTAATTTCTTTGCTTCCGCCAGTGGCTTGTCCAGAACAATGGCAATAAGCATTTCCCCACCATCCTTTTGGATGATTGTTGGTCGTCCAGCTTGTATCTCTGCAAGGATTGCTACTGCCTTGTTTTCACACAGAGTGCGTTCCCATTCTTCCAGCGCTCTTTGCGCAAGGGTGTCAGTCTGTGGTGGGGCTTTCAGGGCAGCTGGTGTTCCTAACGCTTGTATGAAGGGGCTGTCAGGAGGAATGGGGGGCGGAAAATGCCGAATGGCCGCAACGGCACGCTGAATGTCATTTGCCTGTACGTCATAGGACGTGGTCGTTTTTTATTTACGGCAGGTTCAGAATCAGCCCATAGTTGTTCCAGTGTATATCCAGGTTTTGGTTCCATATACTTGCGGTTCCACACTGCATGATGGGACCATTGAGGCGCGTCATGGTTGATTTCAACAGAATCTCGTTTCATATCATATTCTTTGAGCATGTCGTCTAATTCTTGCAAACTAGCAGCTCTGTGAATGCAACATTGTCTGACAGCGCCATCGATGTGGAGTGGCCATCCCACTGGCATGTGTGAGTCCTCCAGGAGTCCATCGCCATTTTGCTCTATGATCGTGCCTAACATGGGGACATCAATGGTTGCTTTGAGGCTGACTTGTGCACGTTTGCACTTCCATGTGTCAGGTGCCAAGAGGCCTCTGCTAGCCAACAGGTGGTCTGCAGAATAGTGGCTGTTGTTCCATTCGCCCCAAGAGTCATCAGCATCAGGTGTAGGAATGAAGTTTGGATTGGTCGGTCGTGGAGCAGGTCGCAAGATTGCACGGCCACGCGAGTAGCGACGAGGAGTTCTGGATCGAGGTCGTGGAGGAGACCGGTGACGTCGATGATCTGCAGGTGAGCGTCGTCTGGGTGGTGATCGTCGCCGGTAAGGGGAAGGGGTTCGGCGGCCTTTGTCATGTTTGGTCGAAGAGCGATGTCGAGGAAGAGGAGAACGAGGTGTGCGGTGAAGGGAAGGTGGTCGGTAATGAGAGTGTGCAGATGGTCGATGGGATCGTGATCTTGGAGTCCTGGATCGTGGTCGGCGTGATGGCGATGTTGGTGGGTGTGGGATGGCAACTGGCGGAGTCGAAACCGCGTTGAAAGTCGGAGCCTCAGGTTCAATAGGTCTGGCTTTGGGTGCAGGTGGAAGCATTGGCGTAGGTGGTGTCGGCGTCGGCGATGGTGAAGGTAGGGTAGGACCGGTTGTGGGAAAGCTCTGGTTGAGGAGTTGTTGTCGTTGTTCCTGAGCGCGTTGGGAGTCAAGGATCATCTGTTGTTGAGCATGAAGAAGACGAACCGATTCGGCAAGGTGTTGTGTAGTGGTGCCCAGCGCTGCCAGTTCCGGTGAGATGGGTGGTGAAGATGCTGTCGTTGGTTCCGGCGGTGCGGCAGGAACTGTAGCCGGTGTAGCTTTTGGAGTAGAACGGCGTAGTTTGTCAGGTTTCTTCTCAGATCGAAGCTTCGGGGCGGCCTTGACTGCAGGATGTCGAGGTTCGGCTGGGGGAGCTGTAGCTGTAGCTGCCAGTGGTGGAGAATGAAGGGTACGAGGTGGGTACGGTGAGCTCGGCAAAGGTGTAGGTGGTGTGGTCGATGCGTGAGATGGAGCTGGAGTAGTATGCCATGTAGTTGGAACAGTTGGTGCTGTGGGAGTAGTAAAGGCCTGTGGAGCGGTGTGCACAACAGTGGTGTCAGGAACCAAAGGTGTAGTCGTTGTAGGTATAAGATGTGGAGTTGGTATTGCATGAGGGGCTGAAGCCAGTGAAGAGAACGACAATGATGGTGTGGTTGAAGCAGGCGTCATGAGTGAGGGCGAAGAAGACCATGTAGGCTGCAATGGCGAAAAATGTGCAAGCGGCGTTGATGGTGGCCACGTCGAAGAAGCAGTCGGCGGCTGCGGTGGAGCAGGCCAAGACGTCGGAGGAGTAGTCCACGGGTACATCGCTCAGGTCGAGAAACTACAATGGAAAGTCACACAACAGAATTCACGACCAGGATTCAGTCCCTAAATTCCTAGAAGTCGTGCAATTATTCCCTGCACCGGGACCGTGTTCCAGTCAGCCACAAGGGCATAAACAGCTTCCAAAGTCTAACGAATAAGGTGCACAATATGTTTAACCTCACCAGACAACCATCAAGAGAAAGAAGACCACACCTGAAAGTCCTGTGCCTGCCTGGTTTTTGTGTCGTGTAATGATGCAATGTGATTGCACAAATTGCTGCGAGAAAAGAAAGGTTTGTGGATGTTCGGTACGGCTGCACTTGAAAGAACAGATCACTGGGGTCCCTGGGACGTCAGGAGCCGCGAGAATTCTCGAAAATGGTGCAAAACCGAAAGGCCGGCTGTTCCACTTTACTTAAATGAATTACCAAATTAAAATGTGTGAATTCAGAGTTCAGGTCTGTCGACATTCACCCTAAACAGGGTTGCCTCAATTGGCCCTATGGCACCATGTCGGAGTCACCATAGGAATCACACTAGACAAGAATGGATCATTATATGATCCGGCAGGAACTGAATCCTGAAACATGCAGATTGGATACGAAACAATGAAATTAACGATGCATCCTACGAATAATAGAAGTACTTCAGAATGGTCATCGAATTCAGAATCGACATCAAAAAGAATAAATAAACCAGCAAAAATAGCATCGGCGATGTCTCGGCGAAGCTTAGCCAATAAATAACTGTCGGCGACGATGTTGTCGGCGATCATGTAAACAGATTGTGTCAAAATTGTTTTCTACGTCCTTGCTCTGAGGAAGGTTCTGATGCAGCTAAACCGTGCCATGGTTTCGGCGAAAATACAGATTGTGGCAACCGTGAAGAAATAAATAAATAAATTGAGGTTGAGGTTCTTGGGTTGAGCCTCGTCCCATCGGCAGACATGGACAATGGAATGGAAACAAACCCTGAACAACAGGTGATCACAACAATGCAGGTACACCAGGGTGATCAGCCCCGGCTTCCACCATCATGCATAGCTTCGTTGGCATGCGTTTGCATGATGGCCGCATGCCCCCTGCAAATAGAGTAAAATTCCATGAGAAGTTTTACATCTGTTCAGATGTTACACACACACAGACCGCGTCGTTTTCCCATATAGACAATGTGATGTCTGCGCGAGGGTGTAAACATGTGTATATACGGACATGTTGTACATGTTCTTTGGAGCGCCGCGTATATTGCCAGCATCTCCTTTGTGCTGCAGCTCTTATTGCAAAACTAAGAAGTCAACGCCCACACCGAGGGAACCCTTGTGTTGGGCAGAATGGTTTTCCTGGGGCTCAAAGCTGGACAAGAAGGTGACGGAAGCCTTCAGCCTCCATGCGTGATATGGGGCTGACAAAAACATGTCTGAAGATGTTGTGTTGTTAAGAACCAATCTCAAGTGATGTACAAGCATGTTTGGTAGAGAGATTCCCAGATGCGCTCAAGCTGCGACACAGTGAGCACGGAAAAGCTGCCTTTCATCTGGTGTCATCGCTTGCTAAATGGTCAAAGAGGTCAAAAAAATTGGCTGCTTGTGACCCAAAAAATTACATTACAGATTGTAAAAATGCAAGCCAGGTCCTTCGTTAGGAGGAGCCCGGCAGCTAAACTACTTGCAAATTGAAATGCAAACCAGGTTCTTCACGCTGGCAGCTCTAAACATGGACAGGAATTTGCCTCAAGCAAAGGGATCGCGAGGCCATGCACAGCTCACAGCACCCACAATTCGAGACAAACACACATTAAGAATGACTTGAAATCACGACAATCATGGAAAGCAGCCAAACCTGCGTTTTCATGTGCCCTCTTCGGGGCGAGGGGCAACCTGCTCTTGAGGTTGTCCCTGCGTCGGTCAGCTTGAGCTGCAGATCCATCTGCGCCAAATGAGTGCTCCGCCGTCTGTGCTCTCCGAAAGCCTTGCCCATTTCAACACATAAGAGAGGTCTTCCATTTGTTCTAGCACGTCTGCCTTCTTGCGAGCAGCCAATAGCCCTACTTGCCCATCGAAAATCAATTCTTGCAGCTTCTCATTGAATGCCTTCTTGTCTGGGATCTTTTCTAGAATTTGTTGCACATCTTCAGGACGACTGGCTTTCATATCTTCCACCCTGATGTCTTGCAAGGTGCGTTGCCTCGTCATCAAGGTAGCAGTGTTCCTGAGCATCAGGTTCTGCGCCATGCCCATGCGATAAGCTTCAAACAATTCCGCCACACACCAAGCACGCCCAAATAGGTCCAGGTTGGCATCCACAGCAATGACCTCTGTAAAATTTGGATCTTTTCGTGCCAGAAATGCCATCATGTCATCAAATTTGTTCATCTCACACTTGATGCTCTCACCATGTTCATTCAATGGTGGGTCCTTATTGAAGAACTTTGGAGCATTGCAAGTGCATATGGGATGTGGGATTTTTGTGACTGGATCGACGTCTCCGTTGGGGTTTCCTCCACAAATTGAAGCGTGCTGATTGACTGAAAACGCACAGATCCAATAGGTTTCCTGAAGACGTCCTTGAACCTGGAGAATTTGCTCCACAACCTCAACCCCTTCCTTGTCGGATAACAATTTCGCAATCAGCTCGAAGTTGTGTTCTCCCAGAGCATCAGCAATGACGCTAGCTAGCAAATCGCGGAAGAGATTTTGCCAGTTGTGCGTGACCATTTTCTTAGGGATCACCTTCTTGCCATCGTTCACGAACTCAGCATAGGAGCTACAAGCGGAGGAAGTTCGTGGAATGATTCCAAGTCTAACCACATCGTTGGTGGTGTGAACATCTGGCTGGAAGGATGGCATAATGCCGAAGCCCAAATTGCTGTAAAATTCCAATAGGTCTGACAAAGAGATCCCACGGCTGGCCAGTTCTTCAGTCTTTGCTTCCCAATCTGACCCCTTTATCATGCCAGTGTCAATGTCACTGTCATGGCGCAAGTGAGAGCAGGGACACACTTGGCAGCCAAATCTGGATGGAGTCCATGAGAGGGCGGGGGGCCTTGCAGATCCAGGCAGTCTAAAAAGTCTATATGCTTTTGATAAGAGGATAACCCCGGCCACGTTCACCACGCTGTTGATACACTGAGCTACAGCAAAAGAGAAGCTGGGGATGTGCAAGCCCCCATAATAAAATCCAGGATCATCAAGAGGAGTCTCTAAAGCCTCACTGACAGCAACCTTAAAGAGACTAAAGGTTGTTGCCAAACTGGCAAGGAAGCCAATTCCTTGCCAAAAGCTCCGTCTCCTACAAGCAAGAAGACGTTGCACAGCAGTGGAATTCTCTTCCTTTCGAGCCATCTGCAAGGTTCGACGAAGCATCAAGACTACGCGGCACAACGTGGTGGTAACGCCAAGGACCCACATCACGAACACAAGCGCAGCAAGGAATGCTGCAACTACCCTAACGATCAAAGCTCCATTAACATCCAACACCGCCAGAATCACCGGCGTCACCTTACCAAATGACAGGATCGCAAATTCAAGCCAAAAGGCTCGCCCAAGGCATGCTCCCCATCGTGGGGAGTTCAAAGCTGGCCAAATACTCTTCAAACGATCTTGGGCGAGATATTGCAGCCCCAGAAGTTCACAAACCAAGACAATTCCCCTAAACCATAGTCGAAACAGGGAGCATAATCCTCCAAGCCAGTTGAGCATCAAAAAGCGTGCTGCCAGAAGCAGGTGTTGCGTTGGGGCAATGAGCCACAGCAAGACAGCTGCTGCCCCAGCTAGCGCATTGCTCGCAATAAGACAGCAAACAAGAAAAATGGAGTCAGACTTGTAAGAAGAGGAATCATAAAGAGCATATGCAAGTGCACCAGACAGGCAGGCGGCGACAATCACGGCCACACAAAGAAATGTGGGATGAGTCCATCTCTGACTCCACCAGGTTTGGCTCTGATCCCGGCTTCGGATTGGCGAATCAAGTTCTGATGGTGATCCAGGCACGTCCGTCACGTCCACATCGCCTGCAGCACCTTTCACTGGTCCGTCCAGTGCACACCTGACACGCCCAAGCAGAACAGGCCCAGCCGACGACATGGCACACGGCCACCCTGAAGAGCTGACAGCGGGTGAGAGCCAGAGTGATGCTCTGTTCAGACCCCGGCTTCAACAGAGAAAGTTGATTTTAGAAAAGAACTCGATTTTCCTCAGTTTTGCTGGTGCTTTGTTTTTTTTGTTTGTTTCTTGTTTTGTTTTTGTTTTTTATTTTTTCTATGAAACCCTATATTCTCTGTGCTGTTGGGCTCATAACTCTGTTGGGCCAAAATTCTACACACACACACAGTATATCACAGTATCACACACCTTGTGTGTGTGATCCGCTCTTTTGAATGATTTGTCTTGGAGTGCCAGCTCGTGTAAACTTCAGTCTGAAGAGCGTAGGTGTTCGTCTCAGGAGCCTAGTTATAGACTCCAAAGGTTTCTTCAATTCATAGCACTTTCTCGCCCCGAGCGAAGGTGAATCTATGTGAATCTAAAGTTCCTCTCAGTTGTCACAAGTTGTCACAAGATGTCACAAGTTGTCACATCAGCAAGATCCTGTCCCAAATTCAACTCCTGCAGGATCATCTTACGTGACACAATTGAGGTTATCCCAGCAATTTTGGAGACGATTTTTATTTTACAACTATACCCAATCTATAAATGGGATAACATGGGATAACCATCCTTACTATCATATCTATTCATATCTTACCATCATATCTAACATGATCCAACCATTTTATCACTGAACTAACCAATCACTTTCCATTCGTGATCCAGCCCCGTTCCCAGGCCTTTGCTGCTGCGACCTTGGACCTTGTAAGGCATGAGAACTTCAAACTTCCGAACTTCTCAGACACTGCAGATTTCCAGAAATTCTCGGAAAACTCTGGGAAAACTCTGAAAATAGCTGAAAATGGAATTGGATAGAATTGGTGAACTGGTGTTTTCACTTCCAAATTTCGACTCCGAAACGGTGTCGTGCAACGGGTCTGAGTCTAGGACGGCGGCGGACAAAACAAAGAGCGCAGGTCGGCCATTCTGCCAATCAACGGCAAAGGCCTTGGCTCAGTGCTTGCCCAGTAATTCAGCCTTGGCCAAATGCCGAGTTGAAGCTGAGCTGGCAACAATTAAGGGATTCAGCCAGCTTTCACTTCTTGGAGAAGAAACAGCAACCATCGGAATGAGTCTCGGCAACGCGACATGGTTCTTCAGAGTATTTGCTGGTGTGCATATGTGCATTTGCCTGTAATGATCTGGACACGGAGAACCCTTTTAGGAAAGAACAGTTTGCAGACCAAAATGTCCATAAAAATAGGCAACAGCACCCAAAAGTACTAGATGACTACAGTATCATCAACAATAAAAGTAAAAGCCATGCTTCTTGCAAGCAGATGCTCTCTTGCACACAAACAACCATACAAACGATTTTCTATCGCAGTAGTTCTCTGTACAGTCACAAGCCACAGACTGGTGCAAGATGGCCTGCTAGTCGTTCCTTTGGTCGTTTTCTGTGCACGGCACAAATTAGTTGACAGGTCGTCAATCTTAATTTGAATTACATCGGTCTCGAAACTAAATTTCGGCCAGCAACTGTACGTGTGGAGCGTTAGCTTTTCAGCTTCGGCACCCAGTCTGCTTCTGCTAGGCATAGCTAGGCCGTGAATTTTGACCCCTTGTGAGTCGAAGATGCATCTGTGAGCGTTGAAGATCAAAGATTGACCTTCACTCACAAATTTCAAAAGTGTGGAGTCAGCTGAGCATGCTGAGCACTGTGAATGCTCAAGAACTTCCTTGGAATCGGTTGGGCATTGCTGGTGCCTCTGGCGCAGAACTGTTCGTGCGAGGTGTGGAGACTCCAGTGCCCGTGGACCTCGATGATTCCACGACCTGTGGTTCAGCGGAGCCTGCAGCATCGGGTCGAGGGTTGGATTGCAGGGCTTTGGAAATTTTGCCGAATTCCAGGTCTAAAAGACTCCGAATCTCCATCATTGCCATCCTCGTTTCCTCATCCTTCGTCTTCTTCTTCTTCTCCTCTTCATTCTCCTTGTCTTCTCCTCCGATGTGCTGGTAAGCAATGCCAATCAAGCTACACGCCCCGCATCCGGCTGCCACCACGAAAAGGCTGAAAAGCGTATACCATGGCACGCCCTCCTTGTTGATGTTGGCACAAAGAGCATCTGCTGAGTTTGAAGGGCAAGCATGTCCGGGCACCCGTGACTTGTTAAAGAAGAATGCAGTTTCAGAGGGGGCATATCTGAAGGTTCGAGAGTCCGATAAGCTCGCTTGGATACGACAACTCCTGTAGGCATGTAAAACTCTGCCGTTGGTTCTTTGTAAAAGCCACAAAGCTCGCCACGGCTTCGAAAAGTGTTCCAAGCCTCTTCCTCCAAAAGTGCAGCAGAACATTTTTTATCATTCAAGTTCTTCAAGACCTCTTCCCAGGTATCCAAATATACTGCCAAGATTTTGTCATTCCAGTGGGGCTCCAAAGATTCTTCAAAAACTGAATGAGTGCACACACTGACACGATTTGATCGGCTTTTTGCCTCCTCCAAGCTTGGAACCTCTCCTTCCACCTCTTTTGCTTGGATCATGTTTGCGGTGATGCCGGCACCATACACTGCCGTGCTCAGCAAAACGAAGAAGCCCAAACCCAAACGTAGCATGTGGGATGGACGAGAGCGGCTTGTTTTTTTCGAGTCCCTCCTGTGGCTGGTTTTTGATTTGTTGACAAAGGCCTCAAACACACCAAGAAGGGCATCAGCGAGTCCGTGTGTAAAACAGCAAAAGCTTCTCCATGCGTCGTTGCGATTTGTCTTGGGGCTTTTCGGGCTCCTCGGGTGGCTCTTCGGGCTCTCCCTGCTCTTCAGGCTCTTCTCCGGATTGTCTGTCAAGATTGTCAAGGCAGTCAAGGCATTTGTCAAGGCCTTTCATGGCGACAATGAAGAAGAATACCACTCCCACGAAGAAACCCCAAGCTCCGAGACTGAAGACATCAACCAGAACCAGAACTTCCAAGATCTCCAGTCTTCTGACGCAAAGAAATTACACTTGCTTTTGGATACCATGAAGACTGGAGAGGTGTACAACTCGATCATGAAGGTCATTGCTTGCCTCCGATGGGTCAAGGCGAATGCCCCAGAGCACAAGTCCACATAACCCATTCCTGTTGCGAAGGCACACAAATCAAAGTTGGTGGTACTAGTAGGCCTTTCAGACCATTCCTTCGGAAATCTTCCCTTGTACTCTTCAAAAGCCTTCGTGAGGTTGTAGTCAATAAAGTATTGGTCGATGCCCTCCTCACCCCTTCTGATGACTGTATGGTCAATTCTAACTTGGGAATGGTTGAGCTCATCTAGCGCCCTTTCCCAAAACTCTGCTACGCGACCTTGGCAGTTCCGGTTTTGCGAATATTTATCGTATCTGCGGCATTCGGTGTTTCCCAAGTAGCCTCGTACCAAACCGCTCTCCGGGTGCAAGACCCGGAGGGAATCATTCTGCTGAAATGCGGCCAGCGACTTTTGGAAAAACTCGGCAGTCCCTTGTCGCAGGTTCCCACAGGTTGCATAAGAATAGGGGCCCAACACACCCCAGTCCCAGTCCACACTGCAATTTTGTGGGTTGACATAGCACCACGATGTTTTGCACCAAGGTGATTCAGAGAATTGGTTGCATTCAAGCTGTGCTGCTGCATCGCTCTCGTAAATATGAACTGCACAGGAAGCACTTATGTTGTGGGTGTTGCTGCCAATCCCAAATTGTTCATGACATGATCCGGTCCAGTTTTGACACCGCCCACTCGGAGGAATGCTTTGCTATGCATGGGCATCTGTCTGGATGGGATCCAAGTGTGATGTGGGGAAGTGCCAGCCACCGTGCCAAAGCCGCAAAAGCAAAGAATCTCATGGTGGCGACTGATGCTACTTCCAAGTTCTCAGCGCTCTCCACTTAAACGTCAGGATAATTCGGCAAAGAATCCGATAAAATTCAGTGCAACCAAACATCAGACTGGTACGTCATGGTACGTCGTATGTGATAAAAACATAATGCATGATATCATACCATCCCGCGATCAACCACCATCAGACTCCGGCTTTCTTCACTTCACCGGCTTTGCATCAGCTGCGACAAGGATTCCAGGTAGCAATCGACCTGATCGAACTTCGTCCAAATTGCTCACTTTGGGCTGTTTGTGTGGTCTTGAAATGTCTCGTGAAGCTAATCATAAACCAGTTTTTTTCCTTTCACCATATTTCACCCGTCCATGTTGCAGATCAAATGAATTTTGAACCACGCCCATCTTATCCAACAGAGAATCGAGATCGGACCGTGCCGCAACTCGAGCCTGTTGCGCCCAGCGTGGATTAAAGCGTGAAGGCAGCCATCAAGTCGTCTGTGGACAACCTCAGCTGTCAGAGCATGGCCGAAACATCTCGTACCACGTCAAGACTTGAACCAAGCAATGAGCATCCACCGATCCATCCATGATCCATCCACTCATTCAATTCATTTATTCAGTCAGGCATCAATCCATCCCTGGATCCGACATCATCCAGCATCATCCATCAAACATCATCGAACCACGGATTCATCCATTGATCACTGCATTTCTCCTTGCTGCAACCTCATGATTTTCCGGTTCGTTTTGGAACTTCAATTGGAGCCAAGCCGCCTTCGAAGTCCAGCGTCGTGTCCCAGCATCATTCCGATGTGACGCGGCACCTGGAACCACCCCGCCAAGACCACCCGAGATCCCTCGAGTTTCGGGTGGAAGTGGAGATGTGGGAACTGTGGGAACATCAAAACCGCCAAAAATGCCACCGTAGCTGACCTTTTGAATAATTACCAAATCATTCAACTTGAAGTACTGGCCACAAAGATCAATTCCGGGTGGGTCCAGTGGACACCAGGTCACCACGTATGTTCATCTTGGAACCTCAAACGTCCATGTGGTTGTTTGACACCAAGAGTTTTGAGCCCCACCCAAAGCAATGCACCTGTCTCGGTCAGCAGCGGAATTCAGATCTGGTATGTTCGAAAATGATCCAAATAAACATGAAACATCATGAAACACACTCATGTCATCTAATGTCCATCCCCGAACGTTCCATGTGATGTATGTGCCACTCCCAATGATACCTCAGCGACTCAGCGTTGCCATGCGCCGAAGAATGTAAAGCTGCACCTGGGCTCAGTCCATCTGCCAACATCGACAGTCCAATCAAGGTTCAAACAAAGCACAATGCGACAACATTCACAACTATCATCAACTATCCCATGATCCGGAACTGCCGGTCATATCCAGCTGCTTTTCATACCTCAAATTGTACATCCCACCAGTCACATCACTTGGTTTCCGGCATAATTTTGCATCTCGAGCCTTGGCAACATGCTGGACCACATTGAAATCGAATGCCCACAATCACAACATGACAAGTTGACTTTGTCTATCTTTCAAGAAACTTCTGTCAAAGAAATGGAGAAGCAAAAAAAACATTCCACAAGGGCATTGCTTGATGATGCGAGTTCCTGGCATGAACATTTGCCTCAAGCCACGGAATCGCCATGCCATGCACAGCTTACAGCACCCACAATTCGAGACAAACTGATGCCATTTCGCGGACAGAAACACACACATACACAAATTAAGAATGACTTGAAATCATGACAATCATGGAAAGCAGCCAAACCTGCGTTTTCATGTGCCCTCTTCGGGGCGAGCGGCAACCTGCTCTTGAGGTTGTCCCGGCGTCGGTCAGCTTGAGCTGCAGATCCATCTGCGCCAAATGAGTGCTCCGTCGTCTGCGCTCTCCGAAAGCCTTGCCCATTTCAACACATAAGAGAGGTCTTCCATTTGTTCTAGCACGTCTGCCTTCTTGCGAGCAGCCAATAGCCCTACTTGCCCATCGAAAATCAATTCTTGCAGCTTCTCATTGAATGCCTTCTTGTCTGGGATCTTTTCTAGAATTTGTTGCACATCTTCAGGACGACTGGCTTTCATATCTTCCACCCTGATGTCTTGCAAGGTGCTTTGCCTTGTCATCAAGGTAGCAGTGTTCCTGAGCATCAGGTTCTGCGCCATGCCCATGCGATGAGCTTCAAACAATTCCGCCACACACCAGGCACGCCCAAATAGGTCCAGGTTGGCATCCACAGCAATGACCTCTGTAAAAATTGGATCTTTTAGTGCCAGAAATGCCATCATGTCATCAAATTTGTTCATCTCACACTTGATGCTATCACCATGCTCATTCAATGGTGGGTCCTTATTGAAGAACTTTGGAGCATTGCAAGTGCATATGGGATGTGGGATTTTTGTGACTGGATCGACGTCTCCGTTGGGGTTTCCTCCACAAATTGAAGCGTGCTGATTGACTGAAAACGCACAGATCCAATAGGTTTCCTGAAGACATCCTTGAACCTGGAGAATTTGCTCCACAACCTCAACCCCTTCCTTGCCGGATAACAATTTCGCAATCAGCTCGAAGTTGTGTTCTCCCAGAGCGCATCAGCAATGACGCTAGCTAGCAGGTCGCGGAAGAGATTTTGCCAGTTGTGCGTGACCATTTTCTTCGGGATCACCTTCTTGCCATCGTTCACGAACTCAGCATAGGAGCCACAAGCGGAAGAAGTTCGTGGAATGATTCCAAGTCTAACCACATCGTTGGTGGTGTGAACATCTGGCTGGAAGGACGGCATAATGCTGACGCCCAAATTGCTGTAAAATTCCAATAGGTCTGACAAAGAGATCCCACGGCTGGCCAGTTCTTCAGTCTTTGCTTCCCAATCTGACCCCTTTGTCATGCCAGTGTCAATGTCACTGTCATGGCGTAAGTGAGAGCGGGGACACACTTGGCAGCCAAATCTGGATGGAGTCCATGAGAGGGCGGGGGGCCTTGCAGATCCAGGCAGTCTAAAAAGTCTATATGCTTTTGACAAGAGGATAACCCCGGCCACGTTCACCACGCTGTTGATACACTGAGCGACGGCAAAAGAGAAGCTGGGGATGTGCAAGCCCCAATAATGTCCAGGATCATCAAGAGGAGTCTCGAAAACCTCACTGTCAGTAACCTTAAAGAGACTAAAGGTTGTTGCCAAACTGGCAAGGAAGCCAATTCCTTGCCAAAAGCTCCGTCTCCTACAAGCAATAAGGCGTTGCACAGCAGCGGAATTCTCTTCTTTTCGAGCCATCTGCACGGCTCGACGAAGCATCAAGACTACGCGGCACAACGTGGTGGCAACGCCAAGGACCCACATCACGAACACAAGCGCAGCAAGGAGTTGTGCAGTAAATGCTACCACAGGGATCAAATCGAAATTAACCCTCGGCACCACCAAAATCATCAGCGTCAGATAAAGAAGAAATGACAGGAGTGCAAATTCAAGCCAAAAGGCTCGCCCAAGGCATGCTCCCCATCGTGGGGAGTTCAAAGCTGGCCAAATACTCTTCAAACGATCTTGGGCGAGATATTGCAGCCCCAGAAATTCAAAAACCAAGACAAGCGGCCTGAAGCCTAGTAGAAACAGGGAGCATAATCCTCCAAGCCAGTTGAGCATCAAAAAGCGTGCTGCCAGAAGCAGGTGTTGCGTTGGGGCAATGAGCCACAGAAAGACAGCTGCTGCCCCAGCTAGCGCATTGCTTGCAATAAGAAAGCAAACAAGAAAAATGGAGTCAGACTTGTAAGAAGAGGAATCATAAAGAGCATATGCAAGTGCACCAGACAGGCAGGCGGCGACAATCACGGCCACACAAAGAAATGTGCGATGAGTCCATCTCTGAATCCACCAGGTTCGGCTCTGATCCCGGCTTCGGATTGGCGAATCAAGTTCTGATGGTGATCCAGGCACGTCCGTCACGTCCACATCGCCTGCAGCAGCTTTCACTGGTCCGTCCAGTGCACACCTGACACGCCCAAGCAGAACAGGCCCAGCCGACGACATGGCACACGGCCACCCTGAAAAGCTGACAGCGGGTGAGAGCCGGAGTGATGCTCTGTTCAGACCCCGGCTTCAACAGAGAAAGTTGATTTTAGAAAAAAAACTGGATTTTCCTCAGTTTTGCTGGTGCTTTGTTTTTTTTGTTTGTTTCTTCTTTTGTTTTTGTTTTTTTTTTCTATGAAACCCTGAAACCCTATATTCTCTGTGCTGTTGGGCTCATAACTCTGTTGGGCCAAAATTCTACACACACACATAGTATATCACACACAATATCACACACCTTGTGTGTTTGATCCGCTCTTTTGAATGAGTTGTCTTGGAGTGCCAGCTCGTGTAAACTTCAGTCTGAAGAGCGTAGGTGTTCGTCTCAGGAGCCTAATTATAGACTCCAAAGGTTTCTTCAATTCATAGATGCACTTTCTCGCCCCGAGCGAAGGTGAATCTATGTGAATCTAAAGTTCCTCTCAGTTGTCACAAGTTGTCACATCAGCAAGATCCTGTCCCAAATTCAACTCCACCTGCAGGGTCGTCTTACGTGACACAATCGAGGTTATCCCAGCAATTGTGGACACTATTTGTATTTTACAACTATACACAATCTATAAATGGGATAACCATCCTAAGCCTTACTATCAATCATATCTATTCATCGAAGGAAGTTTAGAAGTTTAGAAGTCAAACTTCCGACAATATGGAGGGATGAAAAGCAGAGCAGGGCAGAGGCAGAGAGAAGAGGAAGATTAGAAGAGAAAGAGTAAGAAGACAGAAGATACAGATGCGCGAAAAGGTAGGAAAGTCGCGAAACACTGTGTTTTTTCCAATGATTTGTGGCTCCGGAGGGTCGAAAAGTAGGCTCGCTAAAGCAGCGGGTGCGGAGCCAGCTGGCCACAGGCGCGATGAAAAATTGCACGCCGTTGTGGCGCGAAGCACATTTCCAAGTCAAAATGTACAAAACACCTCAGCGTCGGACCACTTTTGGAAGTTGCGATGTCGAAAAAATGCACGCCATTGTGGCGCGAAGCAAATTTCGAAGTCAAAAGTGTTAAAAACTGGCGGTCTCGGACCACTTTTGGAAGTTGAGATGTCAAAAAAGTGCACGCCGGTGTGGCGCGAAGCACATTTCGAAGTCAAAAGTGTTAAAAACTGGCGGTCTCGGACCACTTTTGGAAGTTGCGATGTCGAAAAAGTGCACGCCGTTGTGGCGCGAAGCACATTTCGAAGTCAAAATGTACAAAACACACCATGCTCGCGCCACTTTTGGAAGTTCGGATGTCGAAAAAGTGCACGCTGTTGTGGCGCGAAGCACATTTCGAATTCAAAATGTACAAAACACCTCAGCTCCGGACCACTTTTGGAAGTTGAGATGTTGAGAAAGTGCACGTCGTTGTGGCGCGAAGCACATGTCCAAGTCAAAATGTCCAAAATACCAGGGGTTCGGACCATTTTTGGAGGTTCAGATGTTGAAAAAGTGTACGCCGTTGTGGCGCGAAGCGCACTTCGAAGTCACACTACATTACACTCCAGTACGCTCCGCTACACGAAATTACACTACACCACACTACATTACACTGAAGGACACTGCAACACAGATAGACAGCTAGACAGATAGACAGATGAAAGGGAGAGAGAGGGAGATAGGTAGATAGATAGATAGATAGATAGGTAGATAGATAGATAGATAGATAGATCGATAGATAGATAGATAGGTAGGTAGATAGATAGATAGACAGAGAGATAGACAGATAGATAGATAGATAGATAGATAGAATGATTGATTGATAGATAGATAGATAGATAGGTAGAAAGATAGATAGATAGATAGATAGATAGGTAATTAGATGAAAGAGAGATAGAGAGAGAGAGATAGATAGATAGATAGGTAGATAGATAGATAGGTAGGTAGGTAGGTAGATAGTCAGAGAAAGAGAGAGAAATAGTGAGAGAGATCAATCACCTTTCGCTCCATCAGTGGCTTCGCTCTGCAATCCCTGATTCACAGCAACTCACCTCTCCTATAGGTTTCCTATTTTTGAAACTTCCGCCACCGCCTTGTGCGGTACTACTGGTATCTAACATGATCCAACCATTTTATCACTGAACTAACCAACCACTTTCCATTCGTGATCCAGCCCCGTTCCCAGGCCTTTGCTGCTGCGACCTTGGACCTTGTAAGGCATGAGAACTTCAAACTTCCGAACTTCTCAGACACTGCAGATTTCCGGAATTCTCGGAAAACTCTGGGAAAACTCTGGGAAAACTCTGAAAATATCTGAAAATGGAATTGGTATGAATTGGTGTTTTCACTTCCAAATTTCGACTCCGAAACGGTGTCGTACAACGGGTCTGAGTCTAGGACGGCGGGGGCCAGAACAAAGAGCGCGGGTCGTGGGGCCATTCTGCCAATCAACGGCAAAGGCCTTGGCTCAGTGCTTGCCCAGAAATTCAGCCTTGGCCAAATGCCGAGTTGAAGCTGAGCTTGCAACAATTAAGGGATTCAGCCAGTTTTCACTTCTTGGAGAAGAAACAGCAACCATCGGAATGAGTCTCAGCAACGCGACATGGTTCTTCAGAGTATTTGCTGGTGTGCGTATGTGCATTTGCATGTAATGATCTGGACACGGAGAACCCTTTAAGGAAAGAATGATTTGCAGACCAAAATGCCCACAAAAATAGGCAACAGCACCCAAAAGCACTAGATGACTATAGACTATAGTATCATCAACAATAAAAGCCATGCTTCTTGCAAGCAGGTGCTCTCTTGCACACAAACAATACCATACAAACGACTTTCTATCGCAGTAATTCTCTGTACAGTCACAAGCCACAGACTGGTGCAAGATGGCCTGCTAGTCGTTCCTTTGGTCGTTTTCTGTGCACGGCACAAATTAGTTGACAGGTCGTCAATCTTAATTTGAATTACATCGGTCTCGAAACTAAATTTCGGCCAGCAACTATACGTGTGGAGCGTTAGCTTTTAAGCTTCGGCACCCAGTCTGCTTCTGCTAGGCATAGCTAGGCCGTGAATTTTGACCCCTTGTGAGTCGAAGATGCATCTGTGAGCGTTGAAGATCAAAGATTGACCTTCACTCACAAATTTCAAAAGTGTGGAGTCAGCTGAGCATGCTGAGCACTGTGAATGCTCAAGAACTTCCTTGGAATCGGTTGGGCATTGCTGGTGCCTCTGGCGCAGAACTGTTCGTGCGAGGTGTGGAGACTCCAGTGCCCGTGGACCTCGATGATTCCACGACCTGTGGTTCAGCGGAGCCTGCAGCATCGGGTCGAGGGTTGGATTGCAGGGCTTTGGAAATTTTGCCGAATTCCAGGTCTAAAAGACTCCGAATCTCCATCATTGCCATCCTCGTTTCCTTATCCTTCATGTTCTTCTTCTTCTCCTCTTCATTCTCCTTGTCTTCTCCTCCGATGTGCTGGTGAGCAATGCCAATCAAGCTACACGCCCCGCATCCGGCTGCCACCACGAAAAGGCTGAAAAGCGTATACCATGGCAGGCCCTCGTCCTTGATTTTGGCGCAAACAATATCTGGTGAGTTTGCAGGGCAGGCATGTGGGGGCACCCGTGACTTGTTAAAGAAGAATGCAGTTTCAGAGGGGGCATATCTGAAGGTTTCGAGAGTCCGATAAGCTCGCTTGGATACGACAACTCCTGTAGGCATGTAAAACTCTGCTGTTGGTTCTTTGTAAAAGCCACAAAGCTCACCACGGCTTCGAAAAGTGTTCCAAGCCTCTTCCTCCAAAAGTGCTGGAATTGGGGTTGGTCAGTCGCTGGTAACACTTCTTCTTTGATAACTAACTTCAGACCATGAAGTGGCTGGGCTTGCTCCTTGTGAGGGTCTTGGGATCGCTGAGAGGTAGCGTCCTTAGGTGTTGTGTCCTCAAACCAGGTGGGGCGGACTGACTGGACTCCTATGGGACTAGCAGAACTCGCAGTTTTAATGCTTTCTCTGCGCAGGCTATGGTAGACAGGCGGGATCATCCATGCTGGCACAAAAACTGTGATAAACTGCACATTCCAAATGACCTGCAAATTCTGCGGCTTCACTTCAGGCGTGATGCATCTTACTTGGCCATCGATCACTCTGGTATATGATTCGGAGCGGTCAAAGGACGCTGTGACTTTCAGGCCTAAGTACAATTCTCTGAACCAGTATTCCTTGAGCATCATAAAGGAAAGGTGAGGTGCCCTCACTTCCATTACGTGCGTGGCTGGCATGAGAAGAGTTACCATCCATTCAGCTAAGAATTCAATCATCTTGACTTCGAGTTTAGGGAGGATGGCTTGAACTGCTCGGAGTGCGCCCGCAATGTCCGGGACATGTCTACGTGAGGGAAATCCAACTGTGCGCTTGGCATACTCGTCCGCAAAATAAAGTCTGCACAACTTTGAGACCCATTGGCTCGGTTTTTCCATATCGATGGTGATCTTGGCTAAGGGCCATGGGTCTGGGAGCGTGGATAGACAATGCAATAACTCGGAGGTGAGGTCTGCTGATATTACTGGGAGGGCTTCTCCTTGTGGGCGATAGTCAACTGGAGGTCCAACCGTGCCTTTACTTTTTTGCGTGTGGGTACGGGCGGCACTGTGTACAGCTTGGATGGTGGTCTCGTATTGGTTGACCATGGCTCTTAGGTATTTGCATGCGCGGACAGCTTCTTTTCTTGTGCTCGGCCCATCCTCTGGCTGGTTCTTGGCAGCTACTGCGAGAATGTCTCTCGCTTCTTCTTCTGGCGACCGTTTGGGTTCCGCATCAGGTGTAGGCGCATCAAGGGCGGTACCTTGAACTGGCGCCTCTGCTGCGCGTGGCAGGTGGTCTGGGATTGGCAAGTTTGGGTGTAATCGCCATCCATCAAAGAAATATATGCCAGGCAGGGACAGGATCTCCTGGTCTGGGCCTGTCTGCGCCACTATATGCCCGGTGCGTGCTTTATACAGTCCTGAGGGTAGGCACACATAGGTGGGAAATGGTGTGCGATCAGCAGCATAGGCA